TTTTTTTTTTTTTTTTTTTTTTTGTCAGCCTTTGTAATTGTTTTGTCTTCTGTTTGGGTTGATCTTCCCTAAATCTTGCCAACTTGCTTATTTTCATCCTTCAGGTTTCTGCTCAGATGTTGCTTCCTTGGAGAGACCTTCCCTGGCCACCTTATCTAAAGTGGCTCTTTCTTATCATTTTGTTTATTTCCTTCACAGAGCTTATCCCTATCTGTAATTATCTGGTTTCCTTATGATGAATTATCTTGTTTGTTTATTGACTTGTTTGACCTTCATCCCCATTCCTCAAATATAAGCTCAGGGATGGAGGGACTTAGATTGTTTTGATATTCATTGCTGTTGAACAGAAAAGCGTGTAGTGGACCCTCAAAGATTTTTTTTTCTTAAAATATAAGCACAAGGTTAAAAAGCTAAACAGTGTAAACAATAAAAAGGTAAACAATAAAAAGTATCTCTCTTATCTTTCTTTCCTTAGTACATCTTCTCAGAGGCAAATACTGTTTCCACTTTTAGGTATTTTTATAGATAGTCTATGCATATATAATCATATTTATGTTTGTCACTCCCCTACTTTTTCCCCCATGAAGCGTTGGGCACTAAGTATAGTGTTCTGTGCCTTTCTTATTTCACACACAATATGTCTTACAGATCATTCTTATCCTCTCCCTCCAGCTCCCCTTCTATATATATGCGTGTGTGTATATAGAGAGAGAATATTTACATATACTTACATATTTGTGCATATGTATATCTGCTTCATTCATCTTAAAAAATCTATATAGATGAATCCTAATTTATGTAACCAGTCCTCTATTGAAGAACATTTAATTTGTTTCTGATCTTCTGCTACTTATAAACAGTGCTACAATAAATGTTCCTCTACACTTGTCTTTGTTCATATGTAAAGGTAGATCTAAAGAGTCAGTATGGAGTAGTGGTTAAGAGTATGGGTTGGGTTTGAAACCTACTTCTGCCACTCAGAAGCTTTGCCACCTCAGGCAAGTTACTTAATTTCTCTGTGCTACAGTTTCACCATCCAAAAACTGAGGATAATAATAGAACCAACATCATAGGGAATAATGCATGTAGAATGCCAAGCACAGTGTCTGGCTCTGATAAGTACACAATAAATGTTAAGCTGTTGTTTTTATTCTTATCATCTATAATTGCACTGTTCAACATGGTAGCCACTAGCTACCGATGGCTATTGAGCACTTAAAAGTATGGCTAGTCTGAATTGAGGTGTGCTGTAAGTATAAAATATTCACTGGATTTCAAAGGCTTAGTATGAAAAAATAATGTAAAATATCTCAATTTTATATCAATTACATGTTAAAATGATAATATTTTGGAGAGATCATATCGTAGATGGTTTATTGAAATTAATTTCATCTTTTTTTTTAATCTTTTTGAATTTGGCTACTAGAAAATTTTAAGTTATGTGTGTGGTTTGCATTTGTGGCTCACATTATATTTCTGTTGGGCACTCCTGACCTACACGATGAGTTTTTAGAGGTGAAACTTCTGGATCAAAGGGAATATGCAAAGAAAGTTTGGCATTCTCTATTCAAGGTGGTTGAACCAATTGATACTCTCACCAACAGTATATGAGTGCCTTTATCTCACATCTTCCATTATTGTATCATTAAATGTTTGTTTGATCTTTGCCAGTCAGATGGGTGGAAATGTTATAATGTTTAATCTGTACCTGTCTTATGCGTGAGATAGAGCATCTTTTCATGTATTTATAAAGTATTTACATTTCCCTTCCTGAGAACTCAAAGGATTTTTTTAAAAAACAGAATTTACTTTTTAGAGCACTTTTATGTTCACAGCAAAATTGAGCAGAAAATAAAATGATTTTTTGTATTCCCTCTGTCCCCACACATGCATAGCCTCCTGCATTAACAACATCGCCCAGCAAAGTGGTATATTCATTACCACTGATGAACCTACACACATCATTATCACCCAAAGTCCATATTTTACATTAGGGTTCATTCTTGGCATAGTACATTCTATAGGTTTGGACAAATGTATAATGATGTGTATCTGCCATTATTGTATTATATAGAGTATTTTCACTGCTTCCCAAGCATCTGTGCTCTGCCTGTTCATCTCTGCCTCCACTTTAACCCCTGGCAGCCACTGATTTTTTTCACTGTCTCTATAGTTTTGCCTTTTCCAGAACATCATATAGTTGGAATTATATAGTATGTAGCCTTTTCACATTGGTTTCTTTCACTTAATAATATGCATTTAGGGTTTCTTCATATCTTTTTGTGGCTAGATAGCTCATTTCTTTTTAATGCAGAATAATATTCCATTGTCTGAATGTACCACAGTTCATTTCTCCATTCATCTACTGAAGGGCATATTGGTTGCTTCCAAGTTTTGGCAATTATGAATGAAGATGCTATAAAAACCCATGTGCAGGTTTTTGTGCGGACGTAAGTTTTCAACTTCTTTGAGTGAATACCAGAGTGTGAGTGCTGAACTGTATGGTAAGAGTATATTGTTTTGTAAGAAACTGCCAACTGTCTCCAAAGTGGCTGTACCATTTAATAGGGTTATTTTTTCCTTATTGTTTAGTTTTACAAGTTCTTTGTATATTTTAGATAAAAATCCTTTATCAGATATGTCTTTGCAAATATTTTCTCCAAGTCTGTGGTTTGTCATCTTATTCTCTGGATGTTGTCTTTTGCAGAGCAGAAATTTTTAATTTTAATGAAGGCTAGTTTATCAATTATTGTTCATGGATTGTTCCTTTGGTGTTTTATCTTAAAAGTCTTCACCAAACCCAAGGTCATCTATATTTCCTCGCATTTAATCTTCTAGGAGTTTTATAGTTTTGCATCTGTTAAGAGATTCACCCATTGTTCTATTGCTCTTTTTCTTATTGATTTGTGGGAACTGTTGATATGCAAAAAGTAGCTCTTGGTCATCTGTTTTGCGGATATTTTCTCCCAATCATTTTGGCTTTATTAATGATATTTTTCCATATGTGGTATTAGGGTGTTTTTTTTCCATTTGGAAGCAAAGTTATTTGGGCATTTTTATTGGGATTGTATTTTATTTGTAGATTAATTTAGAGAACTTCGATATTTTTATAATATTGTCGAGTCTCCCTATTCAAGAACAGTATGTGTCTTTCTGTTCTTTCTTTTTTTTTTTTTGTCTTTTTTGTTACCGGTAAGGGGATCGCAACCCATGGCTTGGTGTCACCTGCACCGCGCTCAGCCAGTGAGCACACCGGCCATTCCTATATAGGATCCGAACCCGCAGCGGGAGCGTCGCTGCACTCCCAGCGCCGCACTCTCCCGAGTGCGCCACGGGGTCGGCCCTTTCTGATCTTTCAAGACTTCTTTTAGATAACATTTTAGTAGCTAAAATGCTATCTTTTTAGTAGCATTTTAAAGGCTTTTTTAAACTAGATTTTTCACATCTCTTTTAAAGTTTATTCCTGGGTGCATTTTGTATGAATTTTTCAGTTAACTGTATCAGATGGAGATGCTTTCTGTTACAGGTTCAGAAAAACCAACAAAAGTGGCTTAAGCTGATAGGAGTTTATTTTTCTCACATAACAAAAAGTCCAGATGTAGGTGGCTGCAGGCATGGTTCTATAACTCAGTGATATTTGGCCTGGCATCTCTGCAGTTATTTTGGTCTTTCCCTCACATGATGGTTGCTGTACCTCCAGGCATCACATCCACATACAAAGCAAGAAAGAGGGAGTGGAGAAAAGGGACAGGATTTTTTTTTCTTATGTTTTATAAATTTCCACTGTGAGCTTTCAGGGCTTATGAAGAGAAGCTTTTTTGTGGGTTGGAATGTGAGAACATCCCTTCAGGGTAGTAAGAAAGAGGGAGTGGAGAAAAGGGACAGGATTTTTTTTTCTTATGTTTTATAAATTTCCACCGTGAGCTTTCAGGGCTTATGAAGAGAAGCTTTTTTGTGGGTTGGAATGTGAGAACATCCCTTCAGGGTAGTTTTGTTTGTTTGTTTAATTTCAGCAGGAACCTCAAGGGTTTCACTAACTGGGGGCAATTTCTATTCTAATTTATCAGTTCTCATCCTAAAATACTTGAAGTGCAGACCTGGTATTTGAATTGTTTTTTTATTACTCAGAACCCAAGAAGAAACAGATATGCTTCCTCATCATCTCTCTGTAATAGTGGGCAGAACTTGTTCTATTCTGTGTTTTCACTGAGAGTGAAACACTTCAAGAATTCTGTTTTTATTAGAGGTTCTCATTTTTAACTTTCTACTTTGCACATGGGCATCACAACCCGTGAACCAGATAAATAGACAGTTCCCAAATCCTAGGCAACCACAATATCAGCCCCACAGGCTTATCACTCTGGTTTTTAATTCTTTCTATTTTTCACACTGCCTGGAGTTTTCTCTTGTGAATTAAACTATGCATTTAAGATAATGTTCTTTATATTTTATCTAGCATTTTGATATGTTTATAGAGCAAGAATTTTTTTCATCTAGTTTACCATTTTGCTTGGCACAGAGCTTAGTACATAGTACATATTCAACTGTATTCTTTCCTTCATCGGGATGCAATAAAGAGGATTCATGTCGTATAGATGGTAGAAGTCAGCACAGATATTCTCTAAGTGGAGTCTCTTCTAACTTTGAGATCCTATAAACTATTAGAATTACATTTTCTTGCTTTTTTGGTAACTTTTTAATATCTTGTTGATCAAGCTACTTGACAAATTGAAATTTTATTGAACGTCTGAGTATGTGGGTAATTAATATGTTAATTGTCTTTCCTGATATAGACTTTATTTGGTGTGACGTAAATTCTACTTCAATTTATAATGGAAAAATGATTTCTTCTATATCACATAATTGAGCTACTTTATAATAAGTTTAATAGTATCAACTTTTATGGGGTATTCCATGGTTTCTTAGTTTATCTTTAGTATATTGTTATAGATCTAAGAGTCTGATTAGACACTATAGCATATGCATATTGTAATGTCGACATAATGATACCCTGTTTATATTTTACTTGTTTTGTTATTAAAGTACACTTCTAAAAGAGAAGATAATGCATGATCATTTTATTGAAGAGTACCTGTGGATTCATTACCATCAGTATCTTTTGATATTTATAAAATGAGTCCCAGTTTGACATTTTTTACTTGATGAATTTGATGTGCTTCTTAATCAATCCAAAGATCTCTATTGTAGCTAAGAAAAGACCTGGCAAGCATTTCAAGTAATTATAGGTACATTTACCTATCATCCAGGTTTATTGGGAAACTGGTGCTCAGATCACATCTCCTCATGATAAAGAAATCCTGAAATGTATAGAAGAATGTGTGGAACCATGGAATGGTTCTTGGAATGATAATTTAGTGGATACCAGCGCTCTGAAGAGAGATCCTCTGCAGGACGTTTGCAGGAGATACATGGAAGATCTGAAAAAGATCTGTTTTTACAGGTATCCAAGTTAGAATATAGGATAGTATTACCTTAGAAAAAGAGATAAAAAATGCATTGTCTATTTGTTATATTAAAATTATAGCTAAATAGTACTGTTCATAATAGCCAAAAAGTGAGAATAACACAAATGTTCATCAACTGATGAATGGATAAATAATCTGCTATATCCATAAATGAAATATTATTTAGCAATAAAAAGAAATAAGTACCTATATGTACTACAACATGGATAAACCTTGAAAACATTATAGCTAAGTGAAAGAAGCCATTACAAAGAACCATATATTGTATGACTCCATCTATGTGAAATGTCCAGAATGGGAAAATCTGTAGAGACAGAAATAGACAGAAAATAGGTTAGTGGTTGCCTATGGCTGGGAGGAATGGGGGGGGTTGGGGGTGGTAGCTATGGGGTGTATAGTTCTTTGGGGAGTAATGAGAATGTTCTAAATTGGATTGTGGAAATGGTTTAGCAACTCTATGAATATAGTGAAAGCCATTGAATTGTATACTTCAAATGGGTAAATTGTATGGTATGTGAATTATTTCTCGATAAAGCTGTTAAACAAATTATACTTAAATATATGTATTTCCTCTATGTAAGAACAGGAAATTTCCTTTAAGATTTTATTTTTGCTTAACTATATTCATATTTCCATAACTATTTCTGTAACTATTCCATAAATAGCTAACACTATTGCTAGAAAGAATCCTGGCTTGTTGAATATATTTTCCCTATCCTACAAAATAGATTTTAGCTTTTTTTCCATTTTATTTTATTTTCAAAAGTACACCTATCAAGCTATCAATTGTTTGCTTTCTCTTCCAAAATGAGAAGTGGGCAGTAAGACTAACTAAATGCTATTAGTTGTAGTTACTCTAAAAAGAATTGGATGCTTTGGTTGTCTTTTCTATCTTTGCTCATCCACCTATCAAGCTATCAATTGTTTGCTTTCTCTTCCAAAATGAGAAGTGGGCAGTAAGACTACCTAATGCTATTAGTTGTAGTTACTCTAAAAAGAATTGGATGCTTTGGTTGTCTTTTCTATCTTTGCTCATCTGCATTTTTGTTTTTTAAAGAGTATATGTGCAAAAGCAAATTAACAAATGACCCTAACTATATACCAAACTGAAGGCATAATCACACACAGAAGAATTATTTCAAGTGACCTTAAAATATAGTAATTTTACTATTCTTTTCTAGTGGGACACATTCTAAGAATAAAGAACCACAAAGAAAACTCAAATTATATTTGTAGCTCTGTTGTTAGCAGTAATATTGATGGCTTTATATAGACAAGTACAGGTACATAGATATACATACACATATACATATAAACAAATGAACAATTACATTAATGTCACTAAGAACTAAGATTTTAGTATAAGAGAAGTAAACATAAAATCAAAGAAAATAACTTTAAAATTATAATTTTAAGTTTGAATTTGAATTTGAAATATTAGTGTGTATGCATGATTTATTTATCTCTTTCTAAAATACTAGTTCTGTTACTAAAAAGGCCTATGGGGCCGGCCCGGTGGTGCACTCGGTAGAGTGCGGCGCTTGGGAGTGCAGTGGAGTGCAGCGGCGCTCCCGCCGAGGGGTCGGATCCCATATGGAGACCGGTCCGCTCACTGGTTGGGCGCGGTGTGGGCGCGACACCGAGGGTTGTGATCCTGTTGCCGGTCGCGGTACGGGCGCGACACTGAGGGTTGCGATGCCGTTACTGGTCACGAAAAAAGACAAAAAAAAAAAGGCCTATGAGTAACTCTAATGCCCAGACTGTGGTTTCTAAATACCATTTCCCACTAATAGGAACCAGGGCTCCTTGAAGAAATTGATGATTATCATCAAATACTGGGGCAGAAATAGACTAAATGAGCCTGGATTGTCTTTTTGTTTGGTTGGTTGGTTGGTTTTAGTTGTTGTTTTTGTTTTTATTATTGCTTTTGTTTTTGCCACAAAGCAAGGAACTATCAAAGATATTGGAGCCATTTCAAAAGGATATAAGAGAACTACCTGGCTAGCTCAGTTGGTTACAGTGTTATGTTATAACACCAATGTTAAGTGTTGGGATCCCCATACTGGCCAGCTGCCAAAAAATCATAATCATAATCATAATCATATAATAAAAGAATATAGGAGCCAACTTGAAGGGGCTCTCACCTAACAAAGATTGGACAGTTGGGCATCAAAAAGAATAATCACTGTAATGAACTAAACCATTAAACATAAAAAGCCTGTGATGGTACTAATACTAAAAAAAATATTTCATTGATCACCTTTGGGAGTTGCTGGACTGAAAATTGCTCATTCTGAAATTTGATAAATTCTGAAATTTTTTTTCTGAATTTTTATTCTGAAAATTGGTAAGTGCTTGAATTTTTCTTTTAATTTGTCTTGCATTTCCTGTGTGAACTGAATTTCAGGGTTAATCAAATAGTAGATGAAGGATAATTACTTTTTAAAGAAAAATCCAACTAGTAAGTGCAGAAGGAATAATAGAATTAGAAAATCACTATTTTGTGATCTCTAATAAATAATGCATCTGAGCAATTACTAGTTGGATTTTTCTTTAAAAAGTAATTATCCTTCATCTACTATTTGATTAACCCTGAAATTCAGTTCACACAGGAAATGCAAGACAAATTAAAAGAAAAATTCAAGCACTAAGATAGATATTATGTGCCTCCCCTTATGATTTAGTAGAAAATACACAGCATCTATTCTTGCCTAAAGAATTGAAACTAAATCTAATATTGCCTTTAGATTAAACTACCTATTTACAAAAAAAGAAAGAATAGAGGAACATGTTAATACTAAAAGAATGCAGTCTGCATACCTAAGATATGGGAAATTCCACAGGGCAAATGATTCAATTTCTTCAATAAATGACGTGGGGGTTGGGGAAGGAAAGGAGGAACATTTATAGATTAAAAGAGACTTAAAAGACATAGTGAGCAAATGTTGTGGACCTTGTTCAGGTCATGATTCAAGTAAACAACCTTCGAAAGTATTTTTGAGACACTTGGGGAGAATTTGAACACAAAGAGGGTGTTAGATGACATTAAGAAATTATTGTTAATTTTGTTAGATGTAGTAGTGGTATTATAGTTATGTTTTTTATTTTTATTTTATTTATTTATTTTTTGTCTTTTTCCGTGTCCGGCAACGGATCGCAACCCTCAGTGTTGCCCCCGCACCAGACCAGGACCGGCAACGGGATCGCAGCCCTCGGCGTTGCTCCCACGCCTCGCTCAGCCCGTGAGCGGGAACCGGTCTGCATGTGGGATCCGAACCCTCGGCGGGAGCGCCGCCGCGCCTCCCAAGCGGCGCACTATAGCAGTGCGCCACCGGGCCGGCCCTGTTTTTAAATACTAAAGCATTTTCATGTTAAATGATATGTCTTGAATAAATGAAAGTAGATTGGCAGAATGTTGATAAATGTCAGAGCAAGGTGATGGGTATATATGGATGTTACGTATTCTCTCTTATGTGTATGTTTGAAAATTGTCATAATGTATTTTTCTTTTTATTATTTATTTTATAATAAATTTTATTTATTATGGGGGAGTGGTTAGTAAATAGTAGACAAGGATGTAGAAAGTTTTGCTCTGGAAGAGACCAAGCAATCAGGGACTGGATACTACTGGGAATGATGCAGGAGAGAGAGGGTACAGACATTCTTGAGTGAGAGGAGACGGAGACAGGGATGAGAGCAAAAGTGGAGCAATTGACCTTTGATAGGAGGAAGAATACTTCCTCGTCAGATGGAAGAAGGAGAAGATATGCATGAATGCTAGTGGAGTTGTAGATTTGGTGTGGGAAGATTAGGAAGTTTTCATCAGATGGCTTCTGTGTCTCAGTGATGTATGAGGTGAAGGCTGAGGAAAGGAATAAGGAGAGAAGAGAAGATGTTAATTAAATCACCATCTTGGAGAATAAAAAAGTAAGCTGTTTGTATAACAAAGTAGGATTACCTGATAGTGCTGAATGCCCATTGAAAGTGAAGCTATTCAATCCTTTTGTGAGATTTGCTCTAGCAATATTCACTACTTTGGAGCAAGCCTGAAAAAGGTATAGTTGGATTCAACAAGGTTTGGGGTATTGGAGGGTCAAGGTAACCAATGAGACATATAAGAAGGTGACTGAAATTAGGTACCTTGGAATCTGAACTAGATAGGAAAGGAAATGAAGAAGGAAGGGGTCTGCCGGAAAGTGGGAAAGACCAGTCAGGAAGTTTTTGTGATGGTTCTAGTAGGAGATGGTACAATGGCAGTTGATTTAGGGTAATGGTACAGCATATGGAGAGAAGCTATCCAGGTCAGAAAGTTGAACCAGAAAGGGACAATACAGTAGAAATAAAAATCTTTTGATCTTTAAGTTAATGCCACGTAGTTGTTTTTTTTAAATATCTTAGATCTCTGCTGAGGCTTCAATCACTTTTTCTTCTGAATTTGACTGTTTTTAATTATAGGCAACAAGTTTTATGATATTGATTGAATGGTGATTTTCTTTTACAGGGAATTAAACTCAAAGACGAACTTGAAATTTGTGCATACATCCTTTCATGGGGTGGGACATGACTATGTGCAGTTGGCTTTTCAAGTATTTGGTTTTAAGCCTCCAATTCCAGTACCAGAACAAAAAGATCCCGATCCAGAATTTTCTACTGTTAAATGCCCAAATCCTGAAGAAGGAGAGTCTGTGCTGGTATTCCTTTTTTATATTTAAATTATTGTTAGTTTATTAAAGCATCAAAATAGATAAAACTAATTGACAATTCGAAGATAGATTACTTACAAAATCAGAAACCACTGTAGTTTACAAACTTGTATTAGTCATAGGTTGTATTTTGTTTGAAATCTCTATGTGAGTATCCCTATTTCTAGGCTTCTTATTTTAAATTTAGCCAAATATAAATTTAAATGTATGCCTTCTAAAATTCATATCACTAACAAAGTGCCTACATTTAGGAGTATTAACATTTAATTTAGGTTCTTCAGTATAATACAGCTTTGTGGGTCACTGTTTCAGGAACTTTCTCTGAGACTGGCAGAGAAAGAAAATGCCCGGATAGTGCTAGCCACAGATCCTGATGCAGACCGACTGGCAGTGGCAGAACTTCAGGAGAAGTAAATACAATCTGTTATTTGATTAAAAGTTTGAACTTTAAAAAGCAATTTTTGATTTTAAGTCTTACAGGCTCTTTGAAAATAATGAAAAAAATAAGAAAAGAACATAAAACTCTTGTAAGACGACCATGCAGAGATAATCAGCTAAGATGATACTTTGACATTTCTTTTTTCTTCTCAAATATTTAAAGATATACTTGTTTTTATAAAATTGTGATCATATTATATCATACTATAGTTTTATATCTTGATTATTTCCCACTTCTATTGTACTGTGAGCATTTTCCCCTGTCTTTATATATTGTTTGAAGATATTAATTTTAAAAACAGCATAATATCCTAACAGATTGGTTTATCAATATAATCATTTCCTAATCTTGGTCCTCTGGGTTGCTATGTATTTTTGCCATTATAATGTGACAAATGTCCTTACATAGAAAGGCTTAAACATTTATCATAATTTTTTTCTCACTAAGTAGGAGAATAAAAGTAACAATGTAATCATTTTCTAAAAGACATTGCAAATAGTCCTACCCTAAGGTCACCCATGGTCAGTTAGAAAAGTAGTAGTAAATGTTTTCTCGGAAATCTCATATAATACATTTTGGTTTTTCCTATCTGAAGGATGGTAATTTGTAAGACTTAGAGTCAAGAAGTTTTAATGAGAAATTAGGTATGTCTTGACTGAATTTTCATTTTCTCTACAGTGGTCATTGGAAAGTTTTCACAGGGAATGAGTTGGCAGCTTTATTTGGGTGGTGGATGTTTGATTGCTGGAAGAAAAACAAATCAAGAAATACTGATGTGAAGAATGTTTATATGTTAGCCACCACGGTCTCTTCTAAAATTTTGAAGGCAATTGCACTTAAAGAAGGATTTCATTTTGAAGTAAGAATAGATAATATCTGTGTGCTACTTTTCTAAACCTATTTCTATGTATTTAGACATCTCTCCACCAAAGCTGACTTTCATTGATTTCGTTTATAATTACCCATTTTTTCTAATTCTATTAACACTTATTTAATCTTTCCGATAGTTTAAACATCTTGAGCCAAATTTATCAAGTAGTTGAATCTCTGGGACTAAAATGAGATAGATATTCTTTTAAAAAATTACATTAACACCTACTACAAGGGTACTTCAAAAAGCTCAGGGCAAGATATTATCTTTTAACTCTCTTTTTCCACGGACTTTTGGAAGTACTATCATATTGTTCTGTACAACAATATCTGATTTTTAGACCGAGAATATCTGGCTCCTGGTAACCTCATCAGTAACACAGACTCTGCTCCAAAAAATTGTAGGTGTCATCGACTACTTGGTTTGGCTCTTCAAGCAGTCTTAGGAAACTTGAAATAGTTTTCTGAGTTGCAAATTAAGACCCAATGATTCTACAACCAAAAAACAAGTGATGGCTCTCTCTCAGCCCAGATCATTAATCTTTGTGAACCTCAGGCAGTTAAGCTGACCATTTTTGTAGCTACTCAAACTAATGTCAATTAAGTTGCTTTTCCTCTGCCATCTTTGGCAAATATCAGTGAAAATGTCACCTCTGTGCTTTTTCTGAGCCATAGTCAAGCTTCACATCTTATTATTAATTGTCTGTGTAAAAGAAAATTATACCTGTCTTTATGAAATAGAGCTTTCAATCTTAGGCTTTCTAAAACACATAGCAAAATAGAAGATACTGAAAGTTTATTCAAGCCTCAGATTCTGAATTACAATAATGTTTTCCTTGTTTGTGTCTATGACAAGAAAAATATACAAGCACGAAAGAAAAAAGAACATGACTCTAAAAACCAAGAAGGTTTTTGGCTTTATTTTATTTTATTTTATTTATTTATTTATTTATTTATTTATTTATTTATTTATTTATTTATTTATTTATAGTTTTGGTGAGGAGGTAGAGAGGTGAATTAGAAATCTTAAGTTAGTAATGGTGAGCTCTAGAATTGGTGTGTATCACATGCTTTTTTTGTTGACTCTAAATCAAGTCATATCTTTAAAGCAAACAGTTACTCATCAGATGGAAAATCCTCAAATCTAATTACTAAAGGAAAACTTAGTAACTGTCTTGGTTTTATTTAGGCCACCATGTTATGGAAAGGTACACTTGATTCAAGCATATGTTGTGATAATGTTGAAAGTGCATCACTAAAAAACTTCATGGACTTTGACTACTCTAGGAGACTAAATCACAACCTTCATAGGCACTTTATATTAGTGGTTATAAGACAGTTACTGAGAAGCAGTGTAATTGAATCTGCCTCCATCTCTTATATGCAGCATAATGTTGGGCAAATTTACTTAACCTCTGAGCCTGTGTTTCAGCAACAGTGTATGAGAGCATTAAAAAACATAATAATGTAAGGAACCTATTACAGTACTTAATAAATAGTAGATGATCATCATGTGTGTGTTTGTTTATGTTACCTTGTGACTATGTGCATCACCACTTATAAATATGGGATTATATTTGGTATAATGTTACTGTGTGGTCATCAGCACTAGCAGTGTATTTATGGCACTTTATGACTTTATGTCTACCACCGTATAAATCTTGTGGACCAAAGACCATAACAGAAGATCAGCATACAACTGTTATGTGCATATATTGACAGGTTTTTCCTCTAATATGTGTTTCTGAGTCACTTAACTGGAGTGGCCTCCTCTGCATTTCAGGAAACATTACCAGGTTTTAAATGGATTGGAAGTAGAATAAAAGACCTCCTAGAGAATGGGAAAGAAGTCCTTTTTGCATTTGAAGAGTCTATTGGTATGTAGTAAATATTAAAATCTTTGAAATTTGAGAGAATTTTTTAAATGTGGTAATTCTGTAGAGAAGAATTTTTGTCTTCTGGTTTTATATTTTGAGTTATATAAACTACAGAGAACTCAGAAATGTGTAGATGCATTTATTATCAGGCAAAAAGAAGAACCTAAGGGTCCCCTAAGTACACTTCAGTATTGGTAGGTTTCATCTATTACTCGGCTTTTAAATTCACTGGTCCTCCTGGAGAAACGTAAAACTATTGAAATTATAGGCCTAAGTTTTCCTCTTTTCTAAAATGTTTTGGGGCTTTTTTTCTCTACTTATTTTTCCTTTTTTTTGCCGAAGATTTTGCATTTCTATAAAGATATTTTTTAATCCTTAGGTTTTCTGTGCGGAACTTCGGTTTTGGATAAAGATGGGGTGAGTGCAGCCGTTGTTGTTGCTGAGATGGCATCTTACCTGGAAACCATGAGTATAACATTGAAACAGCAGTTGATTAAGGTTTATGAGAAGTAAGTTCTATCATGAATTTCACATGCTAGATCTTTTCTTTCTTTAACTCTCTCTCACTCGTTTTTTTGTTTTGTTTTGTTTTGTTTCCTACCCTTAGTTTTCTAAATTTGTTTTTGAGGGAATAGTCAATCCTTTTTTTTAAAATTTAAACATAATTTATTATACATATTTGCGGGGTATGGAGTTGAATATATATACCTATGTACGATATATGATGATCAAATCAGGATAATTAGCATGTTCATCATTACAAAACGTAATCATTCCTTGTGTCCACTAACCAATTTCTCCCTAAACCCCATCCCCTCCATAATCCTTTTTTAAAAAGTACTAAAATTGTGTCTGAATTAAGTTCTGCCACTTTCTACAAAATACTATAATAGGCTATCTTTAATATATACTTTTCTAAAGAGTTATCTGAAATCTGATTTTAGCATTTTAAATCTTTATGCAGATATGGTTATCATATTTCAAAAACTTCATATTTCTTGTGTTATGATCCACCTACCATCAAAAGTATATTTGAAAGGCTACGTAATTTTGATTCTCCAAAAGAATATCCAAAATTTTGTGGGACATTTGCTGTATTGCATATACGGGACATAACCACTGGATATGACAGCAGCCAGCCTAATATGAAATCAGTAAGTATCTATTTTTTTTTTTAAAACAATGAGGAAAATTTAATGGCTTGCGTCACCAAAATGTCCAAAGATAGGACAGGTTTCACATGATGCTCGATCCAGTTTCCTCATGCTTGTCAGTTTATCATAAAGGTTACAATTTAGGAACAGCCAGATGGAAGAGATGCATAGAGCAAGGTCCTGGGCATCAGGGGTAGGGCGTGGAAGTTCCTCCCCCCCGGCAAGTTCATGTTTTCACCAACCTAGAAGCACCTGTAAGTACCTGTTGTCTTTTTTTTTTTTTTAATTTTGTAATTTAATTTTAATTTTGTGAAAAAGCCCACCTAAAGGT